GAAGTACCAAAGTTTGGAAAACACTTCTACATGGATACACCAGCATAACACGAAGCCTTACTTATCGAGTGAAAGCTAATCATAATTTAATACTGATTACAGTATGATAGTCATAATGTCATACTGATTACAGTATGATAGTCATAATCCCATACTGATTACAGTATGATAGTCATAATCATACTGATTACAGTATGATAGTCATAATCCCATACTGATTACAATATCATAGTTATAATGTCATACAGATTACAATATCATAGTCATAATGTCATACTGATTACAATATCATATTTATAATCTCGTATTGATTACAATATCATAGTCATAACCTCATACTAATTACAACGTCATAAAGGGCTATCTGTGCTCTGTCCACGACGGGTATCGAAACCAGGTTTCTAGCGTTGTAAGTTCGCAGACATACCACTGTACCACTGGGGGGGGTCGTTTGTTTTTGAATAGTGGCGCAAAGCTACTCAAGTGTCATCTGCGTTAGCCAACTATACCAACCGCCAATTCTTGGACTATTCTTTTAATATGATTTGACTGTCACACTTATAACGCACGTGAAGCTCAAAGCGGTGCGAGTGTTGGACTCACAGATTCATAGAGAGCCACGTTTGGTACTGATAAAAGAAGGAAGGAAATTGCGTGGTGCTTTCATAAAAAGACGAAGTAATCTTTTGAAATACTGATCACAAAATTATAAACAATCCATTATGAATAACATTGTAATTGAATAGATCAGTTTCCAACAGATTAGGTAAGTATTTTTTTCAAACAAAACATGTACTCTGTATAACACGACGAAATCAGAAAACGATGACTGAAACAAACACCGTCTCCCGGTGGCTCAACTGTTAGCTAGAGTTAGGTTATGACGCTAGAGTTCGGGGGTTTGATCCCCGCGATGAGCACAGTGCTGGTAGCTTCATTCTGCAGTGTTGCATTAAAACCAAACAATCACTTAAAAAAACACCGCGAGGGAAGAATTCAGAACACAGGTGAAAAAGGAAATACTTAAATAATATTGCATAGGTTGTTTCAAGGTCTGAAGCTTTTACATATTAGAATTTGGCATAAGCCACCTTACTACAGAAGGAAATTAAACATAAATCGTTTTTTTGTTTTTTTCAGATAAAACGAAATTTTGAATAAATGATCAGCCTCACACGGTCTTTTCCAGTAAATGTTTTCGAACAAAAGCATCAAAAAGACACGTCGTATTCTCACTAAGAGGGATTTAACCTAGGCTTACCTATGATATTGTAATCAGTATGAGATTATGACTATGATATTGTAATCAGTATGACATTATGACTATCATACTGTAATCAGTATGGGATTACGAATACGATATAGTAATAAAATAAACACAGATTCAAAAATCACCTTATGTTTCTTACAATAAGAAATTTCTAAAAAATAAGATCCTGGTACCGTTTCAAATTACCATCAGTAGACTTATGTAGAGTTAAAGAAACAGAAATATTGACAAAAAAATTGGCGATACTATCAATCTTTCTTCACACTTCTGTTTTTTTTCTAGTAGATCAGTTTTGTTTTTAAACTAGACCTATTTCTACTCTTCACACCTCTGATGTTCGATGACGAGGAACCCACTTTGAGACTAATAATGGCTGGAGACGGCTTGAATGGGTAATGAAGAAAAACTTTAATACAACAGCAAATGTACAACGTTTCGACAAGGTTTTGTCATCATGATGATGACACTATTATTACACCTCTGATGTCTTCTAACTAACCAGAACATTTCTAAGATAATAGAAACGATTAGTTAATTACTAAAATCGCTGCACTGGACATTGATTGACTAATAATATTGGAATGGTATTTTATAAATAGTAAGTAT